AAAATTAGCTAGTGTGGTGGCAAGTGCCTGTGGTCCCAGCTACTCGGGAGGCTGAAGTGGAAGGATCACTTGAGCCCAGGAGGTCCAGGCTACAGTGAACTGTGATTGTGCTGCACCACTGCACTCTAGCCTGAGTGACAGAGTGAGACCCTGTCTCAAAAAAAAAAAAGACTTTATTTCTTTGAGCAGTTTTATGTTCACAGCAAAGTTGGGTGGAAAGTACAGAGATTTCCCATATGCCACCTCCCCCACATACACAGGCCACCCCCACCATCCACATCCCCTACCAGAGTGGTCCATGCGTTCCAATCTATGAGCCCACACTGACATCATCAACCAAACACAGTTCACCTTGCAGCTCACTCCTGGTGCTGTGTATTCTACGTGTTTTGACAAATCTTGAATGAGATGTATCCACTATTACGGCACCATACAGAGTGGTTCCATTGCCCTAAAAGTCCTCTGTGCTCCCCTATACGTCCCTCCCTCCTTCTAACCCTGGAAAACCACTGATCTTACGACCGTTTCCACAGCTTTACCTTTTCCAGATCCTCAGGTAGTTGGAGCCCTTACAGTCTTCTTAGATTACAGCCTTCTCAGATTGGCTCCTTTCCCCTAGTAACATGCATCTCAGATTCCTCCGCATCTTCTCATGGCTTGATGCCTCATTTCCATCTAGCCGTGAATAATATTCCATTGTCTGGATGCATCACAGTTTGTTTAGATTCACCTACTGCAGGACGTCTTGGTTGCCTCTAAGTTTTGGCAGTTCTGAATAAAGCTGCTATAAACGTTCACGTCCGAGTTTTTGAGTGGAATCCATTTTCTTTTCTATTTTCTTTTTTGCTTATAACAATCATAGTCATTTGTTTTGCTCACAGATCTGCAATTTGGGCAGGGCTTGGTGGAGGTAATTTGTCTCTGCTTCACGTGGCATCAGCTGAGGTGGCTCGCCCGGAGGCTGGAGAATCACTTCCAGGACAGCTCACTCGTGGCTGACAAGTTGGTGCTGTCAGCTGGGGAGCTCAGCAGGGGATTTGGGCTGGGGCCCATGGTTCCCATCCACGTGGGCCTTTCCCAGGACTCTTGTGCTTCCTTGCAGCATGGTGGCTGGGTTCCCAGAGTGAACGTCCCAGGAGAACAAGGTGGAAGTGAAAGGCATTTTTTTTTCTTTTAACTAGCCTTGGAAGCCACACGCTGTCGATGCTGGCATTCTCTATTGGTGGAGGGAGTCACAAAGCCCCTCCTGCTACAGTTCGTGAGGAGGAAACATAGATGCCACCTCTCAATGGGAGGGGTGTCAAAGTCACAGTAGAGGAAGCGCTCGTGGAATGGGATATAGTGTTGCCTCTATCTTTGGAAAATATCATCTGCCAAAGATGCATCTTGGTCTTCCAGCATTTCTGGACTCTTGCCCTCATCTGGTCCAAGATGGCTCCCTTCTAAGGCCTCATTCCATCCAACGAAAGAGAAAAAGGAGAGCGGGGGAGTCAGCTCATGCCAATTCTGATTGTGCTGCATTGGCCAGAGCTTAGTCACATGGCCATGCCTAGGTTTACCGGTTTATTGTAAAGGATTTTGCAGAGGATACAGATGAAGAGATGTGTAGGGCGAGGTATGAGGGCGCGGGACGTGGAACTTCCATGCCCTCCCTGGATTGGGCCCTCCACGGAAGCCTCCACATGTGGCCAGCGTGATCCAAGAAGGTCTGGAACACAAAGTTTCCAGACTAATCCAGGGTAAATGCCAAGGAACACGATTGCACGTCATTTACTGGTCAAAAGTACGTTTAGCTTTGCTAAAGAAACGTGCCAAGGCTGTCTCTTCCAAAATGGGCTGCCTGAGCGTTTTGGTTTGATGACCAGCCCTGTAGATGAGAAATTGCCTGTTGTTCCACAGACCTCACCAGCGTCTTTGGTATGTCAGTGTTTTGGATTTGGCCAGGCTTGCTGATAGGATGTGCAGTTGGTATTCACATTGCTGTTTTAATTGCGATTTTCCCTGATACAATGATGTGACACTATATATTTATGTTGCATCTGCGAGCGCGTGTGTATCGTCTTTGGCGGTGTTCTGTTCATGATTTTGCCCATGTGTTTGATATTTTCGTTGTTTATGTGAGTTGTTTTCTTATTGCTGTATGTTACATGAGGTTCGTCTGGCTATACGCCTACTTTGAATCTGTCTGAAAACTTATTAAATGAAGCTGGAGGGTGACTGAGCTGGCATAGAGGGAGAGATGTGAGAGAAGTGAGAATGCAGACACGCGAATTTGCAGCACTACGTTGTCAGAGTGCCAGCCAGAGCTGCAGCTCCGCTGCCTCCGGAAGTTGCACGCTCTCGCTTCAGCTGCCCAACTCTGAACAGTGGAGACAGCACATGGCTCAGCACCACCTGCCAGTACCCCTCCCGCGCACAGGTGAGGAAACGGTGTGATGAAGTCCCTCAGCTGTACTCACCTGAGGGTCGTAGTACTATTTAGCCAAAACCAAAATTATCTAGGCAGGGCCAGGGCACGGGTGGCTCGACGACCGCAATCCAGCAGTTTTGGAGGCCGAGGTGATGTCAGATCACTTGAAGGTCAGGAGTTCCGAGGACCGCCTGGCAACATGGTGGTAAACCCCCGGTCTCTACTAAAGATACAAAAAGCTTGGCTGGGCATGGTGTGCACGCCTGTGAATC